TCGGGCAGACGGCTCCGGGCGGGAACGGTAAGTGCATCCCCGGGATGGTTCATCCCCTGGTGGCGGGTGTCGCGGCTCCGGGGAAGGTGTCCCCATTAACTGCTGCCGGCGTTAGGCAAAGGGCCGGGTCTTTCTAATAATTCGCTGTATTTCACCCCCTCCAAGGAACAACCGAAAAGGCCGCCAACAAGTTTATCGAAGGTTCCCACCCGTTCCTGTCCCATTTGCACGTTCCGCTCTGGCGTTTCCCGTCTTTTCCTTCTCCGTGCGGGCAGGTGGCCTTCATCGCCCTTTCACTCGCACGGAATATCGGAGTAAAACCAGCGGCGTGCGGTTTTCTTTGGTTAACGAATTAGATTGCGAACCGATTATGTCTTTGGAATGCCGTGTGGGAACGCGAATGCGTCTGCCTGCACTAGCAATGCTGCGATAGAAACGCTTTAGAAATAATTTAGAAATACTTTGACTTACTTTCACACCCCCATTTCCAGGTCTCTCTGCATGCCAGGCAGCAGGTGGGTGTTTGCAAAAATTATCGCAGTTGGCTTAAAAAAACCAAACCTCCTCCTCGTAAAATGTTAAAGGCAATTTCACGGGAACCGACCGTTGCCCAGAGGTATTTTATTCACTTTGGTTTTCAGCAACGGGTATTTTGGGCCACGAGGTTTGGGTGGTGCCTGGGTTCGCAGGGAGCGCAGCACCCAGGGCGTGCGGCCTGGTGGCACCAGCGCAAAGGGGGAGGCTCCCCGTGTAACAGAGGCGATCTTGGCCGGGGAACCGCCGTGTTTTGGCCACACGCTTGTACATACCCGCAGTAGATCCCGTGTTTCTGCATAGCGGATGTTCGCAGGCCATTGGCTGTATCTATTTGATGGGAAATCTGACAGTGAAGAAAGTAATTCAGAGGGAAACCTCTCATTGCCACAGCTGAAATTCTGCCTTCTTTCCCCCCCCGTAGGCTCAGGATTTCATCTGATGCAGATGCGAAGCTCCTAAAACAGAAATTTCAACTTCAAGGGGCGCCCAAGGAAATGAGGTTTTCAGGTACGTGCGTTGGTATGTTCTGTGTGTCACTCAGAGGCATCCTGGTGCTAAATTTGCTTGTACACCAACACAGCAACATCGGAACTGCGTGTAAACCAGCCGCAGTCCTGTGTTTCAGTAGGTGAGCAGGTGTCTGTACGAACCCAGTCTGTCGGTACCCTTGTGTAATTTAGACTTCTCCGATAATCAGGGAAGGCTTCTTTATTTCGGTGGGATCTCAATGGGATGGCAAATGAGAAATCCTGTAGATAAACCTGAAACGATGGGCTCTTCTGCCTCTTCTGCCCTATGTCATGACTGGTTTGCCACTGCAGTGGCAAAAGAGATGATTTTTTTTTTTCCCCACTAAAACACATCTAGATCCGACTGTGACTTAACACGGCAAGAAAATACCCAGGAAAAGAAAGCACATGGGACCTTTTTTTTATGTTTAGTTAAAGGAAATAGCCAATTTAAGGACCATTTCTCAGCCCTCACAAGCTCATGTAGATTTAATGGTTTATTATATAGAGGTCATAATTATCACAGTAGAGAAGAATAACAAAATTTTTTCCTTTTTGTTTATGGTTATGACGCACACAGAGTATTTCACAAATAATTTCAGTCTAAACTGCACTACTATTTAAGAGACCATTACCTGATAAAGCTCTATGAGTCAGATTGACAGCAAATTAATCACAATAAAACACCAAAAATAATAGCGTCTTCCTAATACTGTCAGATTAGAGCACCGCAAAAAAGATTATTTAGAAACCTTTCCTCTTCTCTGCTATAAATCTTTGACTTGGTTCACCATCTCAGGTTATTTGCCTTTCTCAGCCACAGTTACACAGGGACATCGGGGGGACTTCAGCATGTGGTTGAAACTCTTTGCAAAATCAAGGCCTAGTTTTTGTAAAGGTAGATCTCTGGTCATTTACGTGCATCAATTTTATTTAGATTTTTTGAAATGACGTAGTATTTGAATGAAATTAAGAGTTTTAATAACTCGTTCTTACCCGCATTGCCTAGCTGGGCCATCACAGACACAGCCGCTCCCAAGACGTGAAAGCCGGGATCTGTCTGAGACATCTACAGGGGCTGCTTGACTGCGGACAGCCGGATCAGGTATTATTGTAGCTGAGAAGTGCGGCACTTCGGGGCGTATTGACTGAATTGCATTTTAACTGTGGAACTGAAAGAATTTAAGGACTGTGAGTTTATTATTACAGGCAGGGCTGACTGACCGTCTTTTCTCTGAAAGTTGGGAAAAGACCTCGCAGTCATTATTTTCAGCTTTGCTCAAAAGGAGCTTTTCTGCTGTTGTTTTCAAAGGGTTCTTTTGCCCCCCAATGGCCAAAATCCAGTTTACAAGATGCTTTTTATGTTTGAAAGTGTAGAAGCTACAGGATAAGCACGGAATTCTTGAGTAGTGTTAGGGGTGGGAGGACGCAAGTCCTCATCCTTTAAAGCCGTGGACCAAGCTTTGTCCTTCAAAATCTTGGTACTATGCTCTGTGGCTCCATTCACGGCTGCAGCTGAAAATGGTATTTTTCTTTCTGTGATCCGTGGAGCACTGATCGCTTAAAAGACCATCAATAAAATGATGGCAGGTGAATAGAAAATATGCACACAGTCCCACATCCCAAATTATAGAAATAATGTGTTTAAAGAAAAATCACATTTAGCCTGATTTTTTTTGTTGGTTGCAAATGGAAACCACCATGGCAGCACTGCTCAGCGTTGCCCATTGGGTTTTTGCAGAAGATCCGGGTGATCTTTGGGCTAGGAGTGATTCAAAGAAATTGCTCTGCGTAATACTGTCCCCCCCCAAAATTAAATCTTTGTCAAGCGTTCAACTTCTGTTTCTGTACCTGTGTGTGATACCCAATTTATAAGCAGCGAGCGGCGGGGCAGCTCGCACAGCTGCACGGCAGCATCCTGGCTTTTCCTGGCACGGGCAGCTCTTGCATTTCTTTGATAATCTTTGGTTTTTGGAAAGCATTCGCTCCAGCACAGCGTGGTGGCTGGCTGTAGAGATGCTCTTGTTGGTTACAGGACCCTCCCGGCCAGGGGAAGTCACCAATGGACTGTGGACGCTTGGTTGAGAGCAGGGAGGAGATCTCCAGCCCGGGCGCAGAGCCCGATTCTGCTGCCGGCAGCAACTCCTGCCCACCCTCGGCGGCTGGGCAGCGGGCTGGGGCCCCCCCTGGCAGACCCGCTGCCGCCAACGCCGCTCGGGAGCGCAGTCGGGTTCAAACCCTGCGCCATGCCTTCCTCGAGCTGCAGAAGACTCTCCCCTCAGTGCCGCCCGACACCAAGCTCTCCAAGCTGGATGTCCTCCTCCTGGCCACCACCTATATCGCACACCTCACTCGCAGCCTTCAGGATGAGGAAGAGTCACCAGGAGAGGGGTTGGGTACCCTCCGAGGGGACGGATACCTCCACCCTGTCAAGGTAGGAGAGCTGAGGAGCAGCTACCACCTTCTCTCAGTGAAGTCAATAGGTGTTAAAGATACTTAGGTGAAACTAAAGATTTAAAGCTGATTTACCTTCCCGGAGTTAATACATGTAAAGACTGCCCAGACTAACCGTTGCAGCTAGGTGCTGGGGGCCTGGTGGAAACGTCCTGGAGCTTTGTCCCTCCAGCTTCAGGGACTTTGCACAAAAATATCAAACATAGCGTAGGTCCAAACCTAGTGGGACATGGTCTGTCAGAAGCAAAGGCAGAGGGTAGCACCGGAGGAGTACCAGCACCTCCTTGGTTCCCCACCTGGAAACCTTGGTGATCCCCTGCCAAATCCACCGGGCCCGGCTCTCGGGGGTGTATGTGGTGGGGGTGATGCGCTGTCCCACAGCAGGGACCCCAGCCGCGGCTGGGCCCGCTTTGGTTCTCCCGCTGAGGCAGCCAAGGTATGGGAGATGGCGTTAATTACTGGCCACGTGTTAATTCCTTCTAAGAAAGTGCTTTTCTGATGCATTTATTTCGTCTAGTTGGTATCCCCCGTTGCTGCTCTTCCCTTCATCAAAACAATTCATGGCGATGCAGAGGGGACGAGAAAGGGCAACTGCTCTTGGAGAGGAGCTGGGGCTGGAAACTGGTTTCAAATGCACTGCTCGGTGACGGACGGGACTCTTAAATACCACAGGGTATTTTCTTTGGCTCTGGTCTCAGGGAGTGAGTTAGAGCACTGGGGTGGGTTTTTTCTTTTTTTTTTTTTTTTTGTAAAGTCTGGTGAATTCAGAATGATTTAATTAAGATTAATCTGTGAAGTAATCTCTAATTCCTATAAAGTGACTAATACACAGAGAGTTTCTTGTTCAGTGTTGGTCACTGTAAAAAGTGTGATGTGAACGCAGGCTCCTGAGGCCACTTAAATGATTCGCAGGCTCGCTAAGAAAGTAAAACCTTTACATCAATCAGAAGGTGGCTATAATTTAAAAAAAAAAAATACCGTGGGACGTATTTCAAAATAAGTTTGAAGTAGCTTCTGTTAGCGCCCTTCGTCAGAGTGGAAGGACACAGGTCTCTTAGAGTACTTTTTTACCAGCTGGCAACTATTACTGGCAGAAAAATACATTTAAATAGTTATTTATTATAGGGCATTTCCTGGGCTACTGGAATACGGCAATACTGGATTCATCTAGCAAGTGGGTTTTTTTTTTTATAATCTTATTTATGTGCCATTTACCTGTATTTAGTTCTGTAAAGATTCTGTGAGTCTAACCAACCTTTCAAATATTCCTGGTAGTAAATTAACTTTTTTTTAGTTGGCACCAGAACAAGGGTGTGACAGACAAATCATAGCACATGCTTCAAAAAAAAAACCAACCCACCCCAAAGTGCAGGACATGAGACCACCACAGAGATAAGGACTGTAACTGCGCTCGTGTATCAAGCACAGTAAATACAAGAGCAAAGTAAAATACCCAAGTACAGGTGTGTGTACAGCGAACAAAAAATAAGGTTAATGACTGTAAACTCAGAGGTCTTACTGGGGACAAATTCGTAACATCGCTCTTGAAATAAAACGGCTGAATGAGATCCAGCAGAGAACAGGCTGCTTCATTATGTCTTTAAACAGAAGAGCTGAGATTTAACTGCAGCATTAAGCCCCTGTAGTTTTTAGACCCCTCTCTTTATTTACCCACAGGAAAGGTGCCAGCCTGTTCCCAACAGTGTCTTAAAAATTTTTTATTCATTTGGAACAACCTGCTGGCTGTGTTTCAGGTATTTTTGCCTCAGATGTGTGTGACAAGTTACCTTTTCAAACATCCACCTCTCTAATAAGGAACTCGGCACACCAAACTGGAGCTGAACGCTTCCTCCCAGGCGAAGGGCAGGCGGCTGGGGCCGCCCTTACTGCAGGGCCCTTCCCAGTAAGTAACTTCCTCGGGTTAAGACACTCGAGCTGTAGGAATAGATATTTAACACCAGTGTAACTGATTGTTCCGATAATTGATGAACGGGAAAGATGAATTGTCTCCTCTGACATCACTGGAGCTGGTGAAGAACAAGAAGCTGTTGGTGCTGAAGACCGCCAAGGAGCAATTATACCGAATTCCCTCTTAACGCAGTCTTTAGCAGCCCCTGTGCTGCCGTCGGTATTGCGGGGGCCGGCCGGCACGAAGGGGTGTGCAGACGGGGCTGCAGTCCCTGCAGGCTTTGGTGTAGCCCCATGGTGTCCCTGGCACCGTCAAGGGGAATGCTTTGGTGTATTCTCCCAACAGAACATCTACGATACAAATAGCGGTGCGCTGGCCGATCAGCGCGCCTCGCTCCTGCGCTGGGTCCGGGGGGAAGTTTAGGAGCCGTGCCTCATGATTGATTACCACAAGAAAATACTCAGGCTGGGGTTCCCTTACCCAGCGTCTAGTGACATTTTCCAACAAACAACAAAATGGGAACTTTTTTGGTGATGGCAACAGCTTCCTATTTTCTCATGTTGTGATTCCATCAACGCTTAAAGCTTTGCTGAGAACTGCATTCAGACCGGGCAGCTCCCGTGTGTCTCAGCACTGTGCTTGTCTCTTTTCTCTTGCAGAAGTGGCCAATGCGTTCCAGGTTATACATTGGAGCTACAGGACAGTTTTTGACTCACTCAGCCCAAGGAGACGGCGCAAACCAAGGGGAAGCATCAACAACTTCACAAATCTAATCTCCCGCCTCACTTCCAAAAAAAAAAAAAAAAAAAGTTATTTATTACACCTTATATATATATATTTAAGTTAAAAAATAATACCCACAGACAAACTATAATTCCTGAAATACTGCTCATAGAGGAGAAGGGATTGATTCATAAATGTAATTAATACCTCATTAAGTTAATGTGACGCGTGGTTGGCTTCTGCCATAGAGGACATTGCTGGGATCTGAACCGGGGGAACGGAAGGTGACTGCAGTCGGCACCGACAGGAGGGGCAGCCACAAAGGCAGAGCTGCTGGCGGGAACAGGTCGCCTCGGCGGCGGCGGATAGGTGCGCTGCGGAGAAGCGGGGAGAAGGAGGGATGTGGTTCTGGCCGAGTACGGAGTGATGCTGGCTTGGGCGACAAGCAAAGGGCAAGTCTAAAAACAGCGATTGAAATCCTGCACGCACTTCTGTCACTGCACGAAGCCGATGGCAGAAATCCCCCCCCACCCTCACCCCCCGACTGCGGTCGTCGGGTCAGGGCTTCATCCTTCAGAGAATCCTAACTGTATGTAGTTATTCCTGAAAATGTTGGATGCATGTTCACCTCAAATTAAAAAACGTGCTGAAGTCTGCCCTGGCGCAGCCGCGGCGCTATCTATGTACAGGAGACGCAAACTGCTCCGTGCGTGGAGCGCTGCTTGTACCGATCCATACGACTGCCTTGCATGTTCCAGGGTTTAAAACGTGTTTGAGTGTTACCCCAGTACGACTACTTCTCCACTCATGATACCAAGGTTCATTCATCGTGTCTTCTGGCGGGTTCATGCACTCATGCAAATGGGCCTTAAGCGTCAGCTTGGTCATAGCACGTTCCTCACTTAAGCATCTTCTATACTTGGGCAAGAAAAGCTGAAACTAAATGCACAAACACCATCTCATGTATCTGCTCTGTAAACCACTGTACTTCTCACGTAGTTTGTTATCGCTGAGGTAAACGTTTTATTAAATATTATTCAGTGGACATGACTTGAGTCGCAAAATCTGTATCGGTTTCTCATCATACAGGATTGGTGGTTCCTAGCAGTAATGATCTGTATTTATAGTAACTTCTTTCTGTAGACTTCTGCACCGTTTACATTTTAAAATGACATTTGGCAGGAGGCGCCAACACAATGCTTAGGGACCTGGTTTGCTTAGGGGCATGGTTTTGTGGTGGGATGGCAGCGTTAGGTTAGGTTAACGGTTGGACTTGATGGTCTTTTCCAACCTAAACGATTGATTCTATGATTCTAAATACTAGCGAGAACAACCTTTATAAAAAAGATAATTTTACTGCTTTCATTCTTGAGTCAAACCTGTGATCGTCTTTCAGAGGTGCTGAGCGTGCCAGTGCAAGCCGAGTGTTCACTATCACAGAAAATCAGGCCTCTGGTCTAAGAAAGTACAGAAAAATTAGCACAGCCATTAGGAGGAGCTGGACAAACCATCTAGGATATGCAAGAGCTGTAAAGCACGGTAGAATCTGGAACTCCCCTCCACCCCTGTAGGATTCTGAGCTTTTAACAAGATTATTCTTTTAAATAGTAAGAATACTTTTAATATTTTAAATATACATACTTAATATATATATTTGAACTATTTTAGGCATATATTTCTTATTTACAATTGCAAGTGGTTTATTATGAGAGCTACGTAGCCAGAGCACCATTCAGCCACACAAACTCCAGTTGTTTGGGGGGGGGGGGGAAAAAAATACGGAAGGGCAGCTTTGCACAGACAAGTATCTGCTCTTCTTTACATAGGAGTCTGACTTTTTAAAGAACTGTATTCGCTTTCCATAGCAGTAAAAAGTGTGTTAGCACAACCTCTCGTTATTGGGAGAGCTATTTGTGTTCAGAGACATTAACGAGGAGATGCAAAGCTGTAAAGGTGACGATAGTGAAGTATGACGCGAGAGCGACAGGCCAGTGAGGGGTTCTGGGAGTACTTTGCTGTGCAAGATGATGGCGTTAAGACACCACTCATGCTTCAGACTGATAAAATGCCAAGTAGCAAAGGGGAAACCCAGAGAATTCAGTCCAGTTTTGCATGCAACTGAGATCTCAAGGAAGGGCATCAGGTCAGGGAAAAAAGGACAAGCGAAATCTCAGCCAGAAGTCAACATCAAAGCTCGAGCTGCCACTGTGTAGCGGTGGGCTGGTAATAAAAACAAAACACCTACGAACCACACATGCAAAACGGCATGGGGAAAACACAAAATGTGGTCATGTTTTGCATCAGTTGCATGCTCTTACCTAGCACAGAGGAGCTGGTTACTTCACAGGCTCTTAAATAATACGCCTGGAAGGGACAGGATTCAAGAAACAAAAAAAAAAGAAAAAAAAAAAAAAAGGGAAAAAAAAAATCCCCCCCCCCAGTTTTTAAAAGGCTTCTTCCGTTAAAAATAGTCA